ATGCCTTGGTTGTTGACTTCAACGACAAAAGAAGTGAGATCTAAATGGGTGCCAAGTTAGGATAATATATTGAAGCCTAAGGTGTGACTTGGCTACTTTTCATATACGAATTATTATTATGAGTACCTACTAAAACAGTAATGGAAGAGTGAAGATGATTTTCCGAAGAATAAAATAAGAACTCAAAGCTTTAGAACTTGCAAATGCTATAATATATAATTCGTAGCCAAGTCAGACCTTAGGCTTCAATATATTATCCTAACTTGGCACCCATTTAGATCTGACTTCTTTTGTCGTTGAAGTCAACAACCAAGGCATATATTATAGTATTGAACTTGGCTCTCATTTTACATATATGTTTTTGGTGGGATATCATTACTTTTTGTATGTAAATTATTATAACCTAACCTAACCTAGCCATGACGTATTCTATAAATAAAGTTTATTACTATATAATATAATTCAGTTACTAATATTAATAATAATATTTATTATAAAATATTTTCCGTTGTATATACAGAGTATAAAATATATGTAAAATAAATATACAATTATTTTAACTCTTTTTGAGTATATTTTTAATTATCATAATTTTATTGACTGTAGTTTCTACTGTTGGGTGGATAATTCATAATTTGTAAGAATAATTATTTAATTATTTTAATTGTAATATTTAAAAAAAATAATATTAATTACATACATAGATAGAAAAAAAAGTATGTTGCTGCGCGCGGGTCGACAATATCGACACATATTCGGCTAGTCGTATTTTGGGAGCGGCGATACGGGAAAGGTTATTTAAGTCAACATTACATTACATTACATTAAATTAGAGGCAATTCATTAATAAATTGAAAAATTAAACATAATAGATAAAATAAATGCAAAATTATAATAAAATCAATTGATTAAAAAATTAAAAATTAAAAATTAAAAAATTTTCAAGTTTCTGATTTTTTCCTTTGTATTTACCTAACTACCTATCTGTATGCCAAATTTGAACTTTCTAGGTCATCTGGAACTGGGTTAGAATTTTGATCTATAGGTAAGTCAGTGATAAAAATGACGATTTTCGGACGTTAATATCTAAATAACGGTTTGAAGTGTGTTTATGAAATTTAGAGCACATATGTATCTCGTTAGTCTCAATATATGAGCCAAATTTGACATGTTTATGTGGAATAGTTTTTGAGTTATGAGGGGGTCAAAAGTGGCTCCAAATGGTTCGTATAATATTACACACGGTGCTGCTCGCCAGTTCTGTTAGCTAGAACTTGGCTTGACACGCTACCGCGTGTCTAGATAGGTACCTACATCTGGCAAACGGATGCTATTATACTACAGATCTTATCTTGTCATGCCTGTGATACGCGATTTGAGAAATATAATTTACGTTTTCCATTGTATAGGACAGTAGGACACGACGATTCATTTATCGCAAACTATATAGTCATTTATCAGGTATTAAATTTATTAAAAAATGTAATTTAATATACTATAATAAATATTAAATTATATTACTACAAAAATGTTATATTGATTATAATTTATAACTTTTTTTTTTCAGTTTGTAACCACTAACCAACGGCGCCGCGGGAATTGCTTTCGCATTTCTTTCGATGCCCAAAAAGCAATACCTATATAATTTATAACTATGTAATAGAATGCAAGTCATCGAGCGAAACGGCAATCTCTAACTGATAAGCGAATGGTTGGAATCAATGACAATATAATATTAAAATCGAACCCCTATAATTTATAAATCAAGGCCCGGTAAATATATTTTTATCGTGAGAAAAATTAATATTTTGAATTTTAAATCTGGATACAGCACGTCATCGTGTCCGCGTGGATGTTTTTTTTGTTTTCGAGTGTATAGGAATTTAGATATTACGACATTAATTTATATTTATTAATAATATAATTATTCTATTGGAATTTTCTCGTATTTCCCTATTTACGCAGGTATGAATATTTTAGAAGTATTTTAATAATTATATTATAATCTTTACATATTTTTTAATAATCGTACGTAGCCCGTATTATTCACCCATAATAAATGGATGTGTTTATATGCAGGTAGCAGGTACCTGAGGTACCATATCTACGCATAAAACGTTGTATGCGTTGTACACTTGTAACATACATTCGTATCTCAAATAAAATTTAAAATAAAATCAGATCAAAATCTCATCATCAGTAAGCTCCATTTCGACAGCATATACAATTCCGATTTTTCAAATTTTAATATATGTGTTATTTTGTGTAATTTTGCAGACCAATTTTCAAATTTTGCGGACAAATAGTTTTTTAGCACATCAAAAAATACGGTTGACATGCTGGTGAAATGTTGCAAAAATTAAAAAGAGTCACCTACTTTATTTTTTAGTAGACAATCATTTTGCGGATAATTTTCATTTTCTGTGGACAACTAGATTTTTAGCAAATCAAAAAAAACTTTACGACAAATTAAAAAAAACCATTTCCTTTACTTTTATAATATCATAGAACAATATAAAATAATATATATAGTGTGATACATGAAATATTATGTAGTATGTATGATAAGTATTATACAAATTGAGAGAAAACTGTATTTGAGTCACGAGATGTGTTGAAGTAATCATTAATCAAGTTTTAATAAATGGTGATAAACTGATAAGTGTCGACAATGTACACCGGTCCAACGGCCAATGAAATCGCATTTCAGACAAGCTAGTGTGGCCGAACTTGTATATGGTCCATAAAATACGATGCTAGGTGGACTTGGGAAGACACGGACTTGAGGACTTCCCATGTTCAGCGACCCGTTTTGTGGAGCAGAGGAAACTTCATAGAAAGGCACTGTAACATTATTTGAAAATATTATTTCTACTTAATCATAATAACTGCAATGTAATAATTGGGTATAATGGCGGTTTAATATTATATTATATATCTATATATATAAAAATGGAGCCAAAAATGTATAACAATTCATCAATTGAGAACGGCTGGTCATTTGTCTCAAATTTTTTTTAAGATGTTCGCAATTGCCAGGAGAAGGTTTTTAAGAAAGAAAATTTTTAAAAAGTCAACCAAATAATTAGAAAAACTGCAAAAACTATTTATTGATGTCTGGGATTTGAACTCGATACCGTTGTCTTTATTTACTGTATGGTAGACGTAGACATCTCTATGGCAATTAATACTATTTATTATTTATAATTATTTGTCAGCTCGATGTACAATCAGTATAATCTATGGTTTCTATGGTTATTTTATAGTTTTGTGTTCATTATTTTGTTATTATTATTAATTAATAATTTTTATTGCCTACCAGATATATACTGCTACGAATCAGCATTTTTATTCCAGGAAACAGAATAGGTAAGATACATTTTGAACATCGTACACCAAATTTTAAATAACGAATTGAACAAAGTTTGAGTCATATAGAGTTGGTACATTTAACGGGCAACGAAGTGCATAGGATCAGCTAGTATTATTATAATATATATTAAGTACATACGTACCTATATTATTAGCTTCAAATAATTGAGATTTTGCTTTTGTAGATATTGATCCAGACAAAATTATGCTGGCCCAGCGCTATGCCACGATTTATGGACCAAGTTGTTTGCAACTCTTTCGAACTGGGCAATCTGATAAACGGTGAAGTTACATACGTACTTCGCGGCCATCATCGGATGAACCAGAATATAAATAAATGTATGTCATCGGGCTGTCGGTTGTGTATGTATGATAAAGTCCTGGAAGCTAGTGGAAAGATAATAGCCCCTAAAATCCTGTTACACCTTAACCTTAATAAAAAAACGAGGAATTATTGAAAAATGGCAACGAAATTATTGGCCTACTACTATACAGATCTTAAAACGTGTTCTTGAACAGGTAACTCCTCAACGTAATATTATGCCCTGTCCAATAATAACTTGCCGTATTACATCATTAAGATGCGCGACGGCTGCTCACCAACGTATCGACATCCACCAGATAACTTTGGTAAGTTTTCAATGAATTCGTTCCTCCGGAATGCTAATGAAAATTAATAGATTATAGATACAAATTAAAATATAACAATTTTTAAATATAGACGTTTTCAACTTACAGTTATGCAGATGGATGTCGAGCGGTTGTCACAACAGGCAGAGTAGCAGCGCTAAGCATGCCATGGCAAAAGTAAAAATGACGGTGACGATCAGCATCAACGATAAACCGACAGCACCTGTGAGATTGTCGTCCTGCAATTAAATAAATATTAAAGTTAGTAATTATTCATAGTTAATTCATCGACAAACGTGTAACACACACACCGGGGGGGGGGGGGCTTGCAGCAGCGTTTTTCTATATAATATCAAATTATACTTACGTATTCTTCGATGCACAAATCGTCTAGAGTTTTCTGTACCCGCACGTACCGTTTCCTAAAGTTTTCTCCTTCATACGGTATATTGAAAACTTACTTACTTACTTACTTACTTAGTAGGTAGGTATTTACATAAAACAGATAAAACGGAAAAAACCTAATTAATACCAATTAAATAACAAAAACAAATCTAATTTATATTAAACTAATACAAAAAAAAAACAACTGACTACACTGCAAGAGAGAATGAAAAAGATTTGAGGGTTTCAAAGAGCAAGCTCAGCTTTATATGATAAGATAGCGTATAAGCTTGGCTTGGCGTCTAATTAGGAAGTGTCACGATTTCTGTTGAAATGTTTTTTTTTTACATACCCTCGTCCATCAGAATACCCTTATCAAATTTCGAGTATAAAGCATGTCTCTTTTTTCAATATTTAAATGTAATTGGTCTAGGTATCGGTAATATATAAAAAAAAAACATTATTTAATTTCTGATTATACCTATAGGTAAATGCACTTACGTGGTGTCGGTCCACGCGGCTGATGGCTCCTCGACGCTGCATAAAGGCAGCGCAGTGTCGTCTATCGGACTTCCGGTGGCGTCTGCTGTTCCTGAAACTCCACCGCCATAAACATGACGATGTCGACGGACTGGGTGACAAACCAAATCCCGAATGCTAGTGTAAGAGTCGCCAGTCTCGCGCAGTCCGACGCCGTCTCTCCGGCTGCTCCCGGAAAACGGTTTCTCAGTGCCTGTTGCACTGCAGGACTCCTCACGGTGTCAGCGATAAACGCAGTCATCACGAGTCCTGCGCACAACAGGCAGAGTAGCAGCGCTAAGCATGCTATGGCAAAAGTAAAAATGACGGTGACGATCAGCATCAAAGAAAAACCGACAGCAGCCGTGAGATTGTCGTCCTACAATTAAATAAACATTAAAGTTGGTAGTTATTCATAGTTAATTCGTCGACAAACGTGTATCACACATATAAACATTTTCTTATAGGTACATAAAAAATATTTGACATTATTCTTAAACATCTTTAGGTAACTATTCTAAATTTTGCACATATTATCTATTTATCTGTTTAGACTTTTAGAGCATACAATATAAAAACGTATGTACTATGAATGTCAATAAACCTTTATTTGTTAGGTAAAAAAGCTTGAAATTTTAATACAAAGCTTCTAGTATGTTGTTACAACGACTTTTGAAAAATATTAAAAATCCTTTGTCACAGTTTTTCTTTATGATCATTATTTAAAGTTCAAATATTGACAAAATACGGGAAAATAAGAAATCTTGCAAATTATTTTTAGTTAGAAATTCTTAAAAAATATTCTTTTTAAATCTAAGATTTGAAAATTTAATACAAGATTTTCATAAGTTTGTCTACCTTTATCAAAAAAAAATGTCTACTGGAAAGTGAAATTAAATTTTTACGAGCATTTTAAAATCATATTTTCACAAAATTTGTTCTTCACTCGAATTCTCATGTAACGATTTTCTTATTTTGATATAATTCAAAAACGAATGACTCTAGATACATGCAAATTTCACTGAATGTTTATTATTTATTATCAATTCTTATACTTGATAACATTTTCAAAATATTTTAACGCTTTTTGAGCTGTTTACAGGCATTGTAAGTTTTCAATTTTTTAAGTTTTTTTTTCTATGAATATCAATAAAGATTTATCTGTTAGGCCAAAAACTTTAAAAATTTAACCTGATATATTGTTACAATATCAACATAATGACCAATAAATGATCGACTCTGTGTATTGAAATTATGGTAAATAAGATTTTAAAAGGAATTTATTTCAGGGGGGGGGGGGTGGGGAGAATGTGGATTGTCTGAAATTAAAATTAATAATCTTAAATAGTGCATACCTGATTGATCTTAAATAGACTTACATATACCTATTCAATGCAGTTTTTGGAATTTCTATACTTTCATCGAATTTTTATAGGTAAGAGTGACAAAAAGGACATATAACATGTACAAAATAGTGGTACATATACACACACACACACGCAAGCTCAATAATGTGGGAGCTGGTTACTGCAGGGTAAGCCCCCCACATATTACTGTATATATTTTTTTAGTCTATTCAAAATTATTATATTAGGGCTTCAACTCGCTCCCTATATTAAACACTATTATTATTATATGTATTATTTACGTTAAAGCCCGGCCAATGTCAAAAATGACCAATTCCCAACTACTGTTGGACGTTGTTATAAATTATATACATTTATAGCTTACCTACCTACGGGTCACTGTCAGTTATTTATCCACAGACGTTACTACATTAGTATATATTATTTATTAATATCATTGATAATCTCAGCGATAGTTACTCGATCAAACCATAATAAAAAATAATATTAATACAATAATACATACCTAGCAGTTTTCTAAGTTGAATAATGCCATGGTTATCTAACAAATTATCAAGATATTTATTAAGATACTTAAGATATATTTATTTGAATTAATAAATGATTATCTTTTATTAGGTTCAAAGAACGGCATTATTAAACATTTGTAAACTCGATCGCAGATCGATCCTTGCAAAGAATGTTTCCTTGTTTTGGAATCTGTCAAAGCCGAAAAATAAATTACGCCGAGAGAAGCTGCAGATCTTAGTAGTGTCACTAAATCACAAGGTTACAGAAGGTGCAATTATTGTGAACTAAAGTGGAGAAAAAACAAATGTACTTGTCGATTAGCGGGAATATTGTGTAAATCAAAATGTCACAGCAGCATGCCGTGCGAATAATTAATAAATTATAATAAATATATTATATAATTAATAATAAAAAAATAATAAGACAAATATTAATAATTGTAGTCTGTAATTAATTAAATTAATGTGTATTTTCAGTAATTTAAGTAATTGACCAACAGTCAAGGGCTAATAACGTTAATATTCGGTCATTGAGGTTAAACTGTTAATCTTGGATACTGACTTCATTTCCTGGTAGTTTACGAAATTAACCTAGCAACTTGGTTTATAACGTCAATGACCGGTTACTGAAGTAAATGTTCAATTTTCGTCATTGACCGTAACATTATTATATATGTAGAAAATATATAAGTATTGATTCCTGGGAATTGGGATCCTTAATAATATTGTTGATTATTATTTATTTATTTTATTATAAAAACTGTATGATAATATGTATATGATATAACTGTTATGTAAATAAATATTATGGATTTTTACGTTTTCTTAAATATCCTAGGCTTTAGTTTTTGTCATAAAATGTTTTACGTTTTTTAACTTATTTTAATAACGTTGGAAAAATACACTTTACTCCATAGAAATTACTTTTAAAAATTAATTTCGTTACTATTCATTAAATAAAATGTAATGAAATTACTAGTAAGTTACTGCATAATTTTGTTACAATAATTTTTAATTTGCAATTACATTATTACTCGACCCTGGGCGTAAACTGTATAGCTTACTTAAAAACTGAATTATCGTATTAAGAGGACGCCACACCCGCATGTGTTGTCTCCGTCTTACAAACGCATAACATACCAAATGGCAAATTTATAATCAGAAATTAAAATTTTATGCTGTTAGCTTAAAAATTAGAGTGAATTGACCTATTATGAAACTTGATGGTAAGAATATTATCTGTGTTTTGTTGGACTTTTTTTTACGATAATTCAGTTTTTAAGTGAGTTATGAGCATTTTTAATTTACATTCATCATACACGCTATAACTCACTATTTATGGTGTTTATTATTTTTTTTTTTATATATCCTGTATACAAAATTGTGTGCTTCGATTTCAATATATAGTACCTACCTTATCTGTTAGCAAATTTTTATTTAATGCCACGGGAAAAACCACCGAAAAATTACGAAAAACCACTAAAAATGGGATTTTAATTTTTAGCGCTTTTTTGATCACCATAGAAATGAAGAAAAAACTCTAACATTATAATATTAATATTAATTCAACTTAAAGACTATAAAAAGAAAAAAAATTAAAGAAATGTCTAGGTATGGCATTGCTATCAAGTTTAATTATAGGTAGATTCCACTAATTTTTAAACTATAACTGAGCTAAACGTTATCTGCTGAGCATAAATTTGCTATGTTAGGTACTCACTTATAAGACGGAGACAACAAATGGCCGTGCAGCGTCCTCTTAATGTTTTTAGGTATAGAGATAAGGACATGTGAATTTCTTAAGAAACGACTAAAATTATGAGTAGAAAAATAGTATATATTGTGTGGCAAGGGTGGGAAGTGAGCTATTTCAGTTGCGGGGACGTGTACTGCATACATTTCACCCCAAGACTAAAATTTCGTTCCCACACATAATATTTGTTGTCAAGTCTTCGATCACGGGAAATGTAACAACTATGCAACAGCCAGACTACCTATTCTACGGAAACAATATTTCATGATATAAACGATTTGGTTTTATTTATTTTAAGAGTCACGCATGGATGCTATAATATTAATATAAGATTAGAACTAAAAGATTATGTTTTGTAAAGGCCGTGGTATAGATTTAAGTATAAATAATAATTGTTTTATTAAAATTAAATAAGAATAAAAAATGTGGACAAGTGGGTTTCGCTCTGCTGTACAGTAGGTTACAAGTGGGTCACTATATAATGGATGATATTAAATTTGAATTCAACGATATAATAATAATTATCATTGTATAAGAAAAACGATTCTGAGTGGAGATGGTATGTCAGTCTAGGTATAAGACATGTTATATACATAGGTATCTATGGTATTAAACAAAGAATTGACCTATAATAGGTACTTACAATAAATTCCAAATTAATCATATCACAATATCCATTAGGTACTTATAACGCGTTATACATCAACAAAAACCATGATACTATCATAGATATATAATAAGTGTACTTTAGAAGTTTCAAGTATCCACTAATAATATTACACAATCACAACAAAATAGCTAAAATAGTTATTCTAGGTTTTTTAATATGTACCTAATTTCGTCCAAATTTGAATTTAAAATGTCTGTAAAAAATAACTGTGTTCATATATTTTTTAGATTTTTTGGTTACAGTATGAACTATTTATGAGAACCTTTGTTATAAATTTACAATCCTTAGCTATAAAAACTGAACATTTTATAATTTATTAATTACAATGATTGATAATTTTCGAGATTTTGATAAATTTTGTTAAAATTCAATCTTTAAATGCTTATAAAAAAAACTGTGCATATGTATTTTTAATATTTTTCCACTGATATTGTAACAATATATTAGGAGCCTCGTATTAAATTTTTACACTTTTTGGCCCAACAGATAAAACTTTATTGATATTCATAGAAAAAAAAACTAAAAAAATTGAAAAATGAAAATATCAGTAAACAGCTCAAAATGAGTCAAAGTATTTTCAAAATTGTATGGTGTATAGGAAATGCTAATATAAACATTCAGTGAAATTTTCATGTATCTATAGTTATTCGTTTATGAATAACAACAAAGTATGGAAATCGCTACATGAGAAATCGAGTGAACATCCAATGTTGTAAAAATTTGAATTTCAAACGCTCATAAAAATTTAATTTGACTGTCCTTTAGAGATTTTTTTATTGATAAAGGTAGACAAACTTATGAGTAATCTTGTATTACATTTTCAAATCTTAGATTTAAAAGAAAAATTTTTACGAATTCTTAACTCAAAATAATTTGCTAATTTTCGTGATTTTTCCATATTTTGTCAATTTTTTAACTTTAAATGTTTATAAAAAAAATCTGTGACTAACGATTTTTAATATTTTTTATCTGCCTTTGAAACAATATACTATTAGCCTTCTATTAAGTTTCAAGTTTTTTTAACCAACAAATAAAATTTAATTGATATTTCTAGAAAAAAAACTAAAAAAAAATGAAAAATGAAAATGTC